TACTTACTAAAAACAACATGGCGCTTGATGGTGCGCATTCTAGTCAATTATGCATTTATAATAGTACCTAATTATTTATTCGATTTATTATCTTTATAGAATCCCCGAGTGTTGTAGGTGTCTGGGGTATACCGAGAAGATGTTACGGCTTTTGCAAGTCAGCATTAAACTGCTATTTTACGCTGATATTTTGTAAGAGCGTGGTTCTACTCCGGTTGAGCCGACACATTCGTGCTACAAGCACATAATATAGCTGAGTGTGGTTCTACCACGTAAATGTTTACCATCAGGTGGACTGTGTATTCGCTGGTCGTTCTTTATCCATCTCTAATAATGTTAAATAACTAGAAGCGATAACACGCAAATGGCTTAAGATACGCATTGCGACGATCAAATCTGCCTATTCAAATACTTTCTTGCTTAAATTGGAGACTACCAGCGGCTCCCTCCAAACAGTTCCCTCTCAAAGCAATAGTGGAAACTTTACTACAATAAATGTCGAAAAATATTTATTTTTATAACAAAGTGGCAAACTAACAGTTTACCTCATGGTAAGTGGTTACTTCAGTGAGTGGCTACCAACATAGAAAATATAGGTGCGTTGGGATGCTAAGATGGAACACATTTTTGTCTTTATGTTGTTTTATCAGATTACACCAATAAAAATCTTAATTACTACGGCATATCACTTTTACAATAAAACATTAATTATTAAGGATATAAGCTAAACGCTACATCATCGGAGTCAATCAAATAATCTAGAGATTGGGAAGTTGGATCCTAGTAGTATCCTACGTAATGGGCATATTAGAGACTTGATATTGATTGGCTGTTATACGTGGTAGAGCCAAGCTGCAGCTATATTATGATAGTTGCACGAAAGAGACGGCTTGTCAGGGGAAGGACCACGCTGTACAACATCTTAGAATAGCAGCTTGATAGTGTTGTGTTCTGTATGGTGAGTGTAAAGATCCGGCGACCCTTTTTTGAAACCTTTCTTGTCACTCTTATTTTATGAAAAAACTATTCGGAGTCCGAGACATTTTCTGAGGCACTCTAAAAGAAATTTTTGAGAGCAGTTCTGAATAGCATTCATTATGTATTTTCTAAGAATATTAAAAACATAGTATTACTTAGAATTCTTGTTTTATTACTGATATTAGAGTTAAACCTATGTTTTTTTATTCCTAAATTTAATATATGTAATACATTTCTAAAAAATAAATGCATTTTTTTCTTTTTACCTGTAATTATAGTGGGTTAAAGACGCCTTTTAAGAAATCGAATCATCATCATCATCATCATCATCACAGCCCTTCACAAGTCCACTGCTGAACATAGGCCTCCCCCAAGTAATGCCACAAAGCACGGTCCTGAGCCACCTGCATCCATCGACTTCCTGCATATCTTACCAGGTCGTCACTCCATCTAGTGGGGGGTCGCCCTACACTACGCCTACCGGTACGAGGCTGCCACTCGAGAACCTTTCTTCCCCATCGGTTATCGGTTCTTCGAGCTATATGGCCGGCCCATTGCCACTTCAGCTTACTAATCCGTTGGGCTATGTCGGTCACTCTGGTTTTACTGCGGATATCCTCATTTCTGAGTCTATCACGCAGAGAAACTCCGAGCATAGCCCTCTCCATAGCTCGCTGAGCGACCTTGAGCGTCCTCATACGGCCAGCAGTGAAGGACCACGTCTCTGATCCGTAAGTCATCACTGGCAACACACACTGGTTGTACACTTTAGTTTTCAGAGATTGAGGTATACCTGACGAGAAGATGTGTCATAATTTCCCGAACGCTGCCCAGCCGAGTTGAATCCGTCGATTGACCTCTCGGTCGAAGTTGGACTTACCTAGTCGGACTATTTGTCCCAGGTAAACGTACTCGTCAACAACTTCGAGCATAGTGCTCCCAACAACTACCGGCATAGGTGTGACATGGACATTAAACACGATCTTTGTTTTGTCCATGTTCATCTTAAGACCTATCCGTTGGGAGGCACTATTGAGGTCATTGAGCATAGTGCTTAAGTCCTCCAGCGATTCTGCCATAAGGACTATATCGTCGGCAAATCGAAGGTGAGTGATGTACTCGCCATTGATGTTAATACCGTATCCTTTCCAGTCCAGTAGCTTGAAAACGTCTTCCAAAGCAGCGGTGAAGACTTTCGGGGATATAACGTCACCCTGTCTTACACCTCTCTGCAGTTGGATAGGTTTCGAGCTCTGGTTCTGTACTCGGATAGCCATCGTAGCCCTACTGTACAAACACTTCAGCACTTCGATATACCGACAGTCAACTTGGCACCGCTGAAGGGACTGCAGCACCGCCCAAATTTCGACGGAATCAAAGGCTTTCTCATAGTCCACATACGCCAGGCAAAGTGGCAAATTGTACTCTTCAGTCTTCTGTACAATCTGCCGCAGGGTATGTATGGGGTCTATGGTACTGAAGCCTTTTCGGAAACCGGCTTGTTCGGGAGGCTGGAAGTCGTCGAGTCTGCGTGCGAGACGATTCGTAATGACTCTCGAAAACAGCACGTAGACGCGGCTCAGAAGGGAAATCGGTCTGTAGTTCTTCAAGAGAGCGTTGTCGCCTTTCTTAAAGAACAAGACCACCGCACTTCTGCTCCACGCCTCTGGAGTAGTGCCACCATGGAGGACGGAATTGAAGAGCTTCTGAAGGACTTCAAGTACCGGTGTTCCACCAGCTTTCAGAAGCTCCGCTGTAATTCCATCCTCGCCTGGGGCCCTGCCGTTTTTAAGGTGCTGGAGAGCCATTCTAATCTCGCTTAGACTGACGTCCGGGATATCATCGGAATAGTGTCGGATAAGACTTGCTCTTGGATAGTTACTCACACTTGCGTGTGGCTCCAACGATGATGTGTACAGCTGCCCATAGAACCTCTCAATCTCACTCAAAATCTCAGGTGTCCCGGAAACGATGCTGCCACACTCAGTCTTCAGCCTTGACAGTTGGCTCTTACGGGCAGACAGATCTCTGGCAAAGACTTTGGAGCCCTGGTTCCGCTCGATCGCTTCTTTAATACGAGCAGTATTAAAGTTGCGTAAGTCTCGCCGCATGCATTTGGAGATCTGTCTGTTCAGTTGCCTGTATGCTGTCAAATCTGTTGAAGATTGCAGCCTCATCTCCCGAGAAAGAGGGACTCTTTATGATGAACTCTTTCTTCCAGAAGCGGCCCCACAGGAAGTGGACCTGGTCGAGCCCCGACGGTTCGACAAAAAATGAGATTGACTTCATTATGACGATCAGACGCCAACTGTTCAGTGATGTCTCAGTGATCGCAAGGGTGAAAACTGGCAGCGATCACCGAATGGTTAGAGGCACACTGAACCTAAACGAAAATTAATCTTAATTCTAACTTCGTATTCAGCTATCTAGCTATCTCGCTGAAACTGGACAGAATCTGAATACGTCAGAAAAGGAGATGAGAACATTTTGGCGTAACAGTTATGATGTCAAAACAGATACACCCCGGTACAGCGTTCAGATGTAGTGGAACACTACAATGAAAAAATAGGTGGTGTAGATTATTTGGATCGGATTATAAGTTACTACAGGATTTCATTCAGAACACGCAAGTGGACAATTGGACTCATCTTCCATTTGCTTTGACAGCATCCTGGATAGAATATAAATCAGAACAGGAAATGCTAAGGTACTAGAAAAAAGACGTACTGGACTATCTTGGGTTTCGGGAAGCGATAGCTGACTTTGTACTGCAATATGAAAAGGAAATAGAAGAAGATCTTTCTGCTGATGATGACACCGTGCCGGTTGCAAGTCAAAGCAAGCGGGTTCGAACTCAGCATCCATCTGATTTCGTAAGAACGAGAAAATTATATCCCTTACCTACTGTTTTGGACACTCAAAACCGCTGCAGACTGCCTGGTTATAAGTCCACTAAGGCAAGACGTAAATGCCCAACTTGTAAGGTGATTTTGTGTCTGATGAATGGAAGAAATCGCTATAAAGACTATCACGAATTGTAGCTTATATAGTAAGTTTAATTATAAAAAAATATTTGTAACACTGAAAAATAACCAAATTTTCGAATAAAAATAAAAATTGAAAATATATAGTGTTTTGAGTACTTTAGGAATCATTGAAAGCCGATTTTCAGAAAAATATTTACGTTCCTGATATAACAACATACCTAAAAATATATATTTTATAATAAAAGACGGTAAATTCCAAAAATGACACTCAAAATATACTCTGGGACTGAGGAGGATAAGTATTTTTTATAATATGATTAGACGTTATGAATAAATTTATTAAAATTACTGCTTATTGTTTTTACTATTTTTCATGGCAAGATTAGTAATCTAAAATATCAACAGGTACTAAAAAGGTACAAAACTAAATATATAAATACAATAACAATAGTACTTACTTACTCAATTTTTTTGAATTTTCATTTTATTAGTTTAATATACAGAACCCCGAAACCAGAATCAGGCATTTACATATATATAAATTACAACAGTTAAGTATTTGTAGGCTATATAAATTGCGTGCGGCATTCGGCATTTCAGCCCTGCAGCGGCGTGATCAATCGCTAGGCCTCTGAAAAAAAAATTAAATCATATCAGTAGTTCTTGAGTACTTAAATCTTCTATGAGTAAACATAATTACCCTTTTATGTCATTAGTGTGTATATACTACATTTATATACCATTCTAATAAGAATGCACACTTAACAATTTTAGGCTTAAAATTCTAGGTAAAACAAGTAATAAATTTCTGCTAGGCGGCCATTGTTAAAGGATTAGAAGCTTTGTATTATTGCTTTTTGGTTTCTTATTGGTTTCGTATTATCACGTTCCTTAATTTTTTGTGCATTAGTGTTGGAGGGGAAGCAATAGACGTCCAAATGCCTATTTAAATAGGGGTTGGAGAGTAAAACAATCAGTTACTAATTTTTTCTTCGACGTCGAAGCATCGGAAAGGACTAAGTGATCAAATTCAAAATGGAAGCTCAAGTAAGACAAATTTTATCACTATAAGTTTAGATTTTATGTTACAAAAATTGATAAAGTTACAGTAGTCTACGCAAGTTGTAATATTGTCTGTAACCTACCGATTTAAAGCTTTTTTCTTCTTTTAGGAGCACCTGTCTTACAAAACTCAGAGCAGAAAGCGTGGTAGACCTGCTGGTAAAAACCGCATGCCTCTTAGCTCAGTAAGTACCTAGATTAAATATCATGTAGATTAGAAGTAAATATACAAATTATTTATAATGCTGAGTTATGTCCTTGTGCTTTCGTACTGATTAAAAACATTATGATTGATATCTTATCTGTTTTATGGAGGTTGTAGCATAGACCAAATTTATCTTTATGGTATATAAATCCAAAATAAAGTTCGAATACAATAATACAAAGAATTTATACAGGCAGTTATCTTTATCATATTATTTTACGATTATATATGATTGATTATTTTTATGTAAACTGAAATATTTTTAATTTCATTAGGAACAGAGAAAATCACGCAACGCCCAGTATGAGAAAGAAAGACGAAACGAGATTGCACACGCTACATTACATCTGGCCAAAGCAGTAGGCTGTGACGGTTCCGTAAGTAGATTTGTGTATACTTTTATAATGTAGTGGTGATCTGCCACGGATTCCCACGGGCGATATCTACATTCTACAACAGCGCCATCTACCGCGTCCAACTATTCCTACCGCGATTTGATGTATGATATGACAGTGCACAAAATAGGAACAAACATACAATAATTTTTATATATTAGATTAATATAAATTATTATTCGCTTGAAATATACGATGGTACTGACACTTGAAGCAAATGTCGACATAATTACGAAAGTCAACTCGACTGTGACTTTTTTGTTGACTACGATAAGGCTGCATACACATGTATTATATGTAATTAATCTCAGGACACCACGCTCAAAAGTATGCCTGGTGTCAATATTCTAGGTATATAAAAAGTACTGGTCATTATAAACCTTAACCGTAAGCACATGTGAAATACAACTATTTTTAAATTCAAATCGTACAACTCACTTGAGCTTTTTATATCATTTTTATTAAGATCCATTAAAATTGATTAATGGTAATGGTTTTAGTCAATTTTTGACCGTCTTCATTATTATTTATATCTATAACCTTGATTATAATTATATATATTATATAAACTATTGATTTGACACTATATTGTGACTGTTTTAGGTTACACTACAAAATCTACTAACATCTGTGATTAAACTTTTGGATAATAAAGCTAACTGTAAACCTTCGGAGTCGATACAAATTTTAAGACAAAGAAACGAAGATATTTGTAAAGAGAGTGCGTATTTTTACAATATATAGAGTAATAAATTTTTTTATGTATAATGTAAAGGAATTATTCAAATTATCATTATATAATTTTCAGTACAGGAAATGGAGCTGTTTTTAAAATCAAAAGGACTCAATAAACAAGAATATGAGACGGACAGTGAATGCGAGTCATATAACCTAAGAAGCCGAGGATCAAAAAGAAAATCTGAAAATATATGTGAGGTAAGACCAAGATTCCCAATCTTTTCAATTATTAATATATTTATGAATAATTTATTTTGTTATTGACTAACACTTTCTTAGATATCCCACCCTAAAAGTTGAATCACGACATAGTCTAAGGACATCTAGGATCTGTTTATAGATTTATTAATTTGAAAAATATCATATATGGAACAAGTGTGAAATGGTTACTGAAATATCTGTCGGAAGTTACGACCTACTTTATGTATTGTCTATCTTTAAGTTACCCGAGAGCTACAACGGTAGATTCTCCTACGTTGCTTAAACGGTACAAGGTAATGGAGCCAAGCTGCAGCTACATTGTGGTTGTACGGTGGTCACGAACGGGTCGGCTCGACCGGAATAGCACCACACCCTCACAGAATACCATCGTAAAATAGCTGCGTAATGCTGCTGTATTTCGTATGACGAATGTGGTGAACCAGAGACTCTTTTAATTGGAAACGAGGAATTACATCTTGGTCCTTAGGGGTGAGAGTGCATCTGCGTTTAATCCTTAATCGAGGATAGATGTAGATGTCTCGATGGGCCGCAGAAGCCACTTACCATCAAGCAGATTTTGTGCTCGTTTGTCACCTTTATTCTTTTAAAAATATGGACATGAAGCAATTTTGAACAGTTCTGAAATAATTTATTGCAGGCCCTTTATATCATATTGCGTAATTAAATAATTGGTGTTATTGATAATCAGGCTATTAAATTATAAAATTTAATGTTTTTGATTGTTACAGTTACAATACAGTGAGAAGAAACAGTTAAATGAAAAAGATGTCAAGTCAATGATATCCACTGCGTCAAACCTAGTAAGTTTTACAATCTGAACTTTGGAGCTAGTCTGAAATGTCGTAACTAATCCACGAAAGTAGAAGTAGAGAAAATTAGAGGAAATGAGTGTAAGCCTAAGTATTTCGATTTAAGTTTACAATCTAAATAACTTTCCTTCTCAAAAATAGTTCACAGTTAGATATGGGCTTTATCGGATCCATCTATAGTATCGATTACAATACTAAACGTTTCGCATCTATATATTGATATCAAATTAAATTAATCAAATTATTCTTATTTAATATCCACTCCGTCACTTATCATCTTTCTGTTTGTTGTGAAACAAATGATGTTCTACATTTATGCACTATTCTGCGCCCGGTATGCACAAAGAGTATTATAATATAGTCACTACATTTTTAGGCATGCATTGCATTGCTTTATTTATCAGAAACTTTCGCAAGCGTGCGCATGACTTCTCACTTTCATCGTAATCGAAGCATTGCTACAGGAACGCATAGATAATGAACAAACAAAACGATATTCATTTATGTTAGAAATCTTCGCAGCCGCGCACACAACTGCCCAAAATGTCACCGTAATTGGATAAATGGCATAGGAAACGCATACGGGATAAAAGATAAATTTAATGAGATTAAATTATAATATAAAACATTTATTTTCATATTATTTTATTTTTCACAGACTGACAGCTTCAAGGGACGATCCTGATGTCGGTGATTAGCAATATTATAGGTATTTAAATAACATTTAATAATTGAAATCAAAGTTGTTCTCCATAAATTATAATTTTATAGAAATGTTTTTAAAATTATTTGAATAATAAATTTTTACTTTTATAACATCATATTGTTTTATTTGTACTAACCTAATCCTAGGTTTTTTTAATACACCGGTAGCTAAAATGAAGGAATATTTTATGGCTGTATGTTTTCCTGGTCTTTTGTAATTAATTTATAGGAATCAAAAAAAGAAAGTTTTCAATACGACTGTATGTTCCATTTTGTATATTATATCTAATGTTACGCGATATCTTCGCTAAGTATGAAACAATTTCAATGATTGTTTTTTTTATTATTATATAACGTACTTTAGGGAACTACGATTCATGTCTACCTAAGGTAAATACGTTTTTATGTATGTACCTATTGTTGTTAAGGCGAGAAAATCCTATTATGCGAAAATTATTTTATTTTTTCTAAAACTTTGATGTCAACATATACTTTATACTAACAGCTTAATTTTCTTATTTGCAGTAAGTATCATAGCCTACATTTTAAGGTAATAACTATTGATATGCTACTACGTAGTACTATTATTTATTCTGTGACGCTACTTACTAAAAACAACATGGCGCTTGATGGTGCGCATTCTAGTCAATTATGCATTTATAATAGTACCTAATTATTTATTCGATTTATTATCTTTATAGAATCCCCGAGTGTTGTAGGTGTCTGGGGTATACCGAGAAGATGTTACGGCTTTTGCAAGTCAGCATTAAACTGCTATTTTACGCTGATATTTTGTAAGAGCGTGGTTCTACTCCGGTTGAGCCGACACATTCGTGCTACAAGCACATAATATAGCTGAGTGTGGTTCTACCACGTAAATGTTTACCATCAGGTGGACTGTGTATTCGCTGGTCGTTCTTTATCCATCTCTAATAATGTTAAATAACTAGAAGCGATAACACGCAAATGGCTTAAGATACGCATTGCGACGATCAAATCTGCCTATTCAAATACTTTCTTGCTTAAATTGGAGACTACCAGCGGCTCCCTCCAAACAGTTCCCTCTCAAAGCAATAGTGGAAACTTTACTACAATAAATGTCGAAAAATATTTATTTTTATAACAAAGTGGCAAACTAACAGTTTACCTCATGGTAAGTGGTTACTTCAGTGAGTGGCTACCAACATAGAAAATATAGGTGCGTTGGGATGCTAAGATGGAACACATTTTTGTCTTTATGTTGTTTTATCAGATTACACCAATAAAAATCTTAATTACTACGGCATATCACTTTTACAATAAAACATTAATTATTAAGGATATAAGCTAAACGCTACATCATCAGAGTCAATCAAATAATCTAGAGATTGGGAAGTTGGATCCTAGTAGTATCCTACGTAATGGGCATATTAGAGACTTGATATTGATTGGCTGTTATACGTGGTAGAGCCAAGCTGCAGCTATATTATGTTTGTTGCACGAAAGAGACGGCTTGTCAGGGGAAGGACCACGCTGTCACAGAACAACATCTTAAAATAGCAGCTTGATAGTGTTGTGTTCCGTATGGTGAGTGTAAAGATCCGGCGACCCTTTTTTGAAACCTTTCTTGTCACTCTTATTTTATGAAAAAACTATTCGGAGTCCGAGACATTTTCCGAGGCACTCTAAAAGAAATTTTTGAGAGCAGTTCTGTATAGCATTTATTATGTATTTTCTAAGAATATTAAAAACATGTGCCTTCAACAGCACAGCCGCCTCCTCTGGAGAGTCGGCTTCGTTGCGGGGCAAGTAGGTAATTCCCAGCGTAGGCTTAGGCAGTTCGCCCTCGGGTATTACCGAGAGCTCTGCCTCCGGCCAGCGCTTTAGTTTTCCGATTCCACCCACAATCCAGTCCTGGCTTGCCTTATTCAGGCACGTTACCAGAATCCAACCTGGCTTGTGTGTGAAACCGGCAAATTTTGGGCCCATTCCCGGTTGCGACCCACAGGCCGTCTTAGTGATGACCTGTGTTAGTGCCCGGTGGACCAACCGCATCTGCTCCACACTCATAGGATTCGAATTGCGAATTCCTATACGCGTGGAGCCAGCTACGGCACTGAAGCTGAGCTTCTTCTCCTCCGTTGCCAGCTTCACAGTCTTCCTGGGCTGGTCTTTGGGGGACCGACTGCGTTTTTTTCGCCTTCGGAACTGGGAGAGGCTTGGGCAGAGGAATTTCGTCCCAAGACTTCTGGCAGAGAGAGAGGGCCTCTTCGGCTCCAATCTCAGCTGCTATCAGCCTTCGGTATCTTTTCCTCGCTGCCCCACTAAGCTTATAAGGCCTAGCGAACTTTTCCTTTTCCCCTCCCTGGTTCGTTTCCGATTGTGGTTCGGCTGCAAACGTGCCCTCCACTTCACGGCTCGTCCCAGGTTGGGGGACGACCTGGTAAGACATGCAGGAAGTCGATGGATGCAGGTGGCTCAGGACCGTGCTTTGTGGAGTTACTTAGGGGAGGCCTATGTTCAGCAGTGGACTTGTGAAGGGCTGTAATGATGATGATGATGATGAAAATGAATGTTTTATATTATAATTTAATCTAATTAAGTTCATCTTTTATCCCGTATGCGTTTACCAACATTACCAATATTAGGGAGATATTTTGGGTAGTTGTGTTCGCGGCTGCGAGGATTTCTAACAAAAAATTAATATTTTTTGTTTGTTCATTATCTATGCGTTCCTGTAGCATTGCTTCGATTACGAAGAAAGTGAGTAGTCATGCGCACGCTCGCGAAAGTTTCTGACAAATAAAGCAATGCAATGCATGCCTAAAAATGTAGTAACTATATTATACTCTTTGTGCATATCGGGCTCAGCTAGTGCATACATACATGTAGAACATCATTTTTTCCAAACAAACAGAAAGCTGATAAGTGACGAAGTGGATATTAAATGAGAATAATTTGATTAATTTAATTTGATATCATTATCGAGATAAAGATGCGAAACGTTTAGTATTGTAGGTAATCGATACTATGGATAGATCCGTTAAGTTGCTATCTAAGTCTGAACTATTTTTGAGAAGGAAAGTTATTTAGATTGTAAACATAAATCGAAAAACTTAGACTTACACTCATTTCCTCCAATTTTCTCTTCGTATTCGAGGATTAATTAGAACATTTCAGACTAGCTCCAAAGTTCAGATTGTAAAACTTCTAGATTTGACGCAGTCGATATCTTTGTCTTGACATCTTTTTCTTTTAACTCTTTCTTCTCACTATGTTGTAACTGTAACAATCAAAAACATTAAATTTTATAATGTAATAGACTGAATATGATATAAACGTCCTGCAATTAATTATTTCAGAACTGTTCAAAATTGCTTCATGTCCATATTTTTTAATAGAATTTAGGTGACAAACAAGCACAAAATCCACTAGAAGGTAACTAGATTCTGCGGTTCATAGACATCTACATCTATCCTTGATTAAGAATTAAAACGCAGATGCGATGTCACCCCTTAGGACAAAGATGTAGTTCCTCGTTACCAGTAAAAAGAGTCTCGAGCTCTCTACACTGGCCATACGAAACACATCAGTATTACACTGCTATTTTACGATGGTATTCTGTGAGTGTGTGGTGCTATTCCGGTCGAGCCGACCCGTTCGTGATACAACCAGAATATAGATGCAACTTGGCTCCACTACGTTATTTATTAGTATTGACTTACTGGTTATTTTAAGCCTGGTGTAAGCGAGAGACGTCTTTATCATCATCACGTGGTAGTGTACAATAGAATAACTTTAATTAATATAGATTACAAGTAATTCTAACTGAAAGTCATTTTTTTACTTTTACGACTGATTCGGGAAAAAACCCCTTTGTCAAGAAAAAACCAGTAAGAAACCCAGCAGGACTTTAAAACTTTAACTTATCCTTTAATCCAAACCATCATTATATCACACAATAATCATTATATCACACGAAGGAAATATAGTTTATACAATAGTTCGAGTATAAATCGATATTTCATTCGAAATTATTGTGTGTTCCCTGCATCGTATATGCAAAATAAACGAGTGTAGGTATCTGTATTTGCACTTGTACTTTATTCAGTATTATATCACTATATCCTGCATAAATATCCATTTCCTATAGCTACTTAGATGCTATCATGCTAGAAAAAAAATATGTTGGCAAGAAATACCATCATTATGAAATTAACTAGTTATACTTACAGAGCCTAAGAGGCACCGGTGTCCAAAAGCGGGTTTTACATAACCATTTATTTAAAATACGTTTATAGTTAAGAAATTAAGTAATAAACTTACGACCCATCGCCTAGAGATATTACAGACCTTCGGAGTGAGATTGGAAAAAGGAGATTACATGAAATTGTACCGCAATTGTAATCGTACCGCACATAAAATAGTGAACCAGAAAAGTAAAACATCGTTGCAATTTTAATGTTAACAGATTAACAGTATTGTTATAACCTATTATACTAGATATTGTCCAAATGTAACGTTTAAAAGCAACGTAGGAGAATCTACCGTTGTAGCTCCGGGGTAACTTAAAAGTAGACAATAAATAAGGTATCTCGTGGCTTCCGACAAATATTACAGTAACCATTTCATACTTTTTCTATACATGATATTTTTTCAATAAATAAATCTTTTAAACAGATCCTAGATGTCCTTAGACTAAGTCGTGATTCAACTTTTAGGGTGCGATATCTACTTAACAAAGTGTTAGTCAATAACAAAATAAATTATTCATAAATATATTAATAACTGAAAAAGATTAGAAATCTTGATCTTGTCTCACATATATTTTCAGATATATGTGAGGCAAGCTCGGCTCATCCTCGGCTTTTTTAGGTTATACGACTCGTATTCACTGTCCGTCTCATATTCTTGTTTGTTGAGTCCTTTTGATTTTAAAAACAGCTCCATTTCCTGTACTGAAAATTATATAATGATAAATTGAATAATTCCTTTAGATAGTGAAATTTTTTATTACTCGATAATTTGTAAAAATACGTACTCTCTTTACAAATATCTTTGTTTCTTTGTCTTAAAATTTGTATCGACTCCGAAGGTTTACAGTTAGTTTTATTTTCCAAAAATTTAAGTACAGATGTTAGTAGATTTCGTAGTTTAACCTAAAACAGTCATAATAGTGCTTAAAATCGTTAATAACAATCGAAGTTATGGATATAAATAATAATGAAGAAAGTTAAAATGGATTAAAACCATATCCATTAATCAATTTTTAATGGGTCTTAATAAAAATGATATGCAAAAGCTCAAGTGAGTTGTACAATTTGAATTAGAAAATATATATTGTTTTTCACATGTGCTTACGGTTAACATTTATAATGACCAGTACTTTTTATATACCTGGAATATTGACACCAGGCATACTGTTGAGTGTCGTGTCCTGAGATTAATTACATATAATACATGTGTATGCAGCCTTATCGTAGTCAACAAAAAAGTCACAGTCGAGTTGACTTTCATAATTATGTCGACATTTGCTCAAGTGTTAGTACCATCGTATATTTCAGGCGAATAATATATTAATTTAATATATTCCTATTTTATGCACTGTCATATTGTACATCAAATAACGGTAAACATAGTTGTACCCGCTAGATGGCGCTGTTGCAGAATGCAGATATCGGCCATGCGAAGCCGTGGCAGATTGCCAGTACAATATAAAAATGTAAACAAATCTACACTTACAGATCCGTCACAGCCTACTGCTTCGGCCATATGTAATGTAGCGTGCGCAATCTCGTTACGTCTTTCTTTCTCATACTGGGCGTTGCGTGATTTTCGCTGTTCCTAATGAAATTAGAAATATTTAAGTTTACATAAACATAATCAATCATATATAATAGTAAAATAATACCACAAAGATAACTGCCTGTATAAATACTTTGTATGATTGTTTTTATATGCCATAAAAATAAATTGGTCTATGCCACAACCTCCATAAAACAGAGAAGATACCAATCGTAATGTATGTAATCAGTTCGAAAGCATAAGGACATAACTCAGAATTATAAATAATATGTATAATTACTTCTAATCTACATGATATTTAATCTACTTACTGTGCTAAGAGGCATGCGGTTTTTACCAGCGGGTCTACCATGCTTTCTGCTCTGAGCTTTGTAAGACAGGTGCTCCTAAAAGAAGAAAAAAGATTTAAATCGGAAGGTTACAGACAATATTACAACTTGCGTAGACTACTGTAACTTTATCAATTTTTGTAACATAAAATCTAAACTTATAGTGATAGAATTTGTCTTACTTGAGCTTCCATTTTGAATTTGATCACTTAGTCCTTTCCGATGCTTCGACGTCGAAGAAAAAATTAGTAACTGATTGTTTTACTCTCCAACCCCTATTTAAATAGGCATTTGGACTTGCCAATTTACTCGCGGACATAGGTCCTTATGTCCGGGACGGGGGTTTGTTAGCGCCTGATAGTAGATCGTCTTATCTCAAGCGGTGTGAAGCGACGATTAGTGAGGTGCGGGAGGGGGCGCGGTCGGTCACCCCTGTTGGCATCGAGCCGAGCTAGGGAGCAGACGGCGGGGCCGGGCTGCACCCGGCCCGCCGCTAGGGCGCGCTCCTAGCTAGGCACGCGGCGCCTGCGCCGATAACGTTCTCCGGTCGCATTATAGGGGTCGCGAGAGTTATTGCGCGAAGCCGGGTTGTTCATATATTGAAAGTCTCCTTGTTTTGTCTTAGACTTATGTTAATAGAGCGTGCCATTTGAATTTAAAGACAATTAATTGGACAATAAATAATAAGTGACAAATCTTGCCGTGGAGCGTGGAACTGAGTAGTTGCGCGTCTTGTTAATATAATTGCCGTACGGCCACCCTGACGTATGTACTGCGCGAACCTGAGTTTTTTGCGACGCGGTCCGGTGATACAGAATTTTTCACAAATAGTGAGTTCGTTATAACGCGGGTTCGGTTAAATCTGGTTGAATTTGATTGGATTAACCTAATGACAATTGACTTAACTATAAATAATGAGTGATAAACGAGCGTAATTTCCTAGACTCTGAAGTTCCTGTGACGGCTTGCCCTTTCGATGGATCCCATACTGGAATAGAGGTGAAGCCTTGGGATCTGCTGTTCGGCAACCAGCGGGAAGTCAGGTTACATAATATAACACGTACTGAGCATAACACTATCACACACATATACTTACACCTGAATCTTCCTAGGTTTGACCCTACGTCGATGAAATAGGTAAGTCTTGTTTGGTTCCTTTTTAACCGCTATTGTCTCATATTCCACAAGCCATTTAGGCCGACCTCCTGTTACTCGTCGAGTTGAACCCCTGGTGGGCCCGGGTTCTCCGACCTTTGCCCGGGTAACTAGTGGCCGTAACAATAGCAGAGTAAAAAATTAGAGATTGTGGTGTTTGAAATTTGTCATCTATGAGAGTGAATTTTATCTTATTTTATTTTATTATATGAAATACGAAGTTGGGATTAAGATTAATTTTAACTTCGTATTCGCTTTCTTAAAAGGCGTCTTTAACCTACTATAATTACAGGTAAAAAGAAAAAAATGCACTTATTTTTTTAGAAATATATTACACATATTAAATTTAGGAATAAAAAAACATAGGTTTAACTCTAATATCTGTAATAAAACAAGAATTCTAAGTAATACCATGCTTTTAATATTCTTAGAAAATACATAATAAATGCTATACAGAACTGCTCTCAAAAATTTCTTTAAGAGTGCCTCCGAAAATGTCTCGGACTCCGAACAGTTTTTTCATAAAATAAGAGTGACAAGAAAGGTTTCAAAAAAGGGTCGCCGGATCTTTACACTCACCATACGGAACACAACACTATTAAGCTGCTATTTTACTATGTTGTTCTGTGACAGTGTGGTCCTTCCCCTAACAAGCCGTCTCTTTCGTGCAACTAACATAATATAGCCGCAGCATGGCTCTACCACGTATAACAGCCAATCAATATCAAGTCTCTAATATGCCCATTACGTAGGATACTACTAGGATCCAACTTCCCAATCCCTAGATTGTTTGATTTTAATTTTTTTTTAATTTTCTTTAAAAAACGTTACCCCTACACTAAGATTTAGATTGATTCCAATGATGTAGCGTTTAGCTTATATCCTTATTAGTTAATGTTTTATTGTAAAAGTGATGTATAATATGCCGTAGTAATTAAGATTTTTATTGGTGTAATCTGATAAAACAACATAAAGACAAAAATGTGTTCCATCTTAGCATCCCAACGCACCTATACTTTCTATGTTGGTAGCCACGCACTAAAGTAACCACTCACCATGAGGTAAACTGTTAGTTTGCCTCTCTGTTATAAAAAAGACGTGTGGCACTCGGGGACTGCCGCGGTAAAGCTATTGCATAGCATTTTGTATCAACTTATGCAATTATAATTATTTATTTATTTTATTTATGCAGTATTTCTTTTTCTTTGATAATAATTCAAGTTACACTTTTTGAGCGTGGTGACCGATAAGAAAACAAATTTTTTTCTTTTATTAAATAAATAAATAATAAATGCACTTTGTTCATTCATATTCAAAACACTTTATACACAAATTTTACAAGTACAGCTATTCACTGTTGTACATAAATACCTATACACCTATATACTTTCTCATAAACAGCTGCTTATGTATTCGTCCGATTTCGGAGCAGCTCGTCTCGATTCGTGCGAGCTTCGTAGAGTCGTACAATACGTCTAGTTGCACGCACACAAACACCGTGTCGAAGACTGCCGAAAAGAACGACGTTGGACAATGCACGGCCTTCAAGCCACACCTCCGTGCCCGTCGGAGTGGGGAGCGTGAGGTTTTTTCGTTACGGAATTTCTGGATTCGGTCCCCGCGTTCAAGGCCCGCGATAGAAGCTATGCAATAGCTTAAAAATTAATATAAAACAAAACATATAAAAACTCCACGGACATTCTCCTTCTCTCTAACCTCCATGGTTGCTACTTAAGTGAGATATGCGAAAATATGCCGTTTTGTGGATTATCATATCAAGATATATATATCAAATATAAATTACGTGTCACGTTGTTTGTCCGCGATAGGCTCCTAAACTACTTAACCGATTTTAATGAAATTTGCACACCGTGTGCAGTTTGGTCCAACTTGAGAAATAGGATAGTTTTTTTTTGCCCATGAGTAACCCACAATTTATTTTTTGCGAATTTAAGGATTCTTAATAGGACATGACAGGGTCGTAGAATGGGCAGAACAACGTCTGCCTGGCAGGCTAGTCTTATATATTACCTCGATATAGTAATCTTTATTTCAAAACTATCAATAATGTTCTTTTTAAGATAATCAAAAGTAAATACTTTCCTATGACAGCCAAGAAAAAAGTGTTTAAATCGTGTATCTTGCCATGTCTCATGAAAGAAAGAAGTATGTTGGGCGTTACGCTTAAGGACCGAAAAAAAGAGCAGAAGATATCATATCTACAGTAAGGAAACAAGATAGTTCAAATGGCAATGGACACATAAAAAGGGAAAACAATATAAAATGGACTCAAATCATAAGGGAATGGCACCCTAAAAGGCGAACAGATAATATCAAGATTATTGGAGGGACAATCTGGTTAAAAAAGCTAACAATAGACAAGATTTGATAGAGCTAGAAGAGGCCTGTGTGTCACAGGACACGCTGACCACTAAAATGTGCTAGATTATAAGTTAAAAAATTAGCTACTATGTTAAAAAATATAACGCTTAGTATCAACAATGAAGGCTTAATAATATTCACACAATGGCAAGGGAAAATAATATGTTATTACGACCTCTCAGCCTCCAATAAATAGTAGTATGTCAGCTTTACTATCCACGCTATCTTTATTTACGCGAGATGTTCAATATTCAGATCAGCGATTAGAAACAGCGCCAAATTAGCGAGACATCCGGCACTGCGATCGTCAATCGGTCGACCAGGCGTGATGATCAGGACAGATCTTTTTACAACGGGAGAGACCCTGTCCATACTGGGCTTTTAGAAGCATATTACATTGTATAGTAATGAGCACGCTTATTTACAGTTATAAAAATTTATAGAAAATAATCATTCAACATTTTTCAAGGATGAAAACCTATATCTAGCCATTTACCGGTGACTTTGAATTGACTGTTAACTATTTTGTCGCTAAGTTTTAGTAGTAGTAGCTCGCCTCGCTTCAAACGCAAAAATTGAAACCTAAATACAATTACTGCTATTTTGTATAACTGCTTATATTGTAGAATTCTTTTCAAAAGAAACATCTTTGAATCAGAATAATTGTTTCTTAATGCTTAATGCATCTGCATGTTCTGTTAAATAAACAACAGTTATAAAAACTTCAAATACAGAAAAATTTACTCATTTCCCACTAAGAACACTCACATAAGCGCAGAGTAAATTAATACCTACATATATCGGTTGTAGCCCTGAAAGAGGCAGTAACGCTGTTGTTTCGGCAACTTTGGCATTTCAGGCCACTGAAGGAATTCCGTAAAGAAAGATGAACCTACCTTCTACAATGGTTTCGATATAAAAAAAATATGTCAATTGTGTTCGGGCGTAATTAAAAAAGTACAACATTGTGATAAATATTCTAAGTGATTGAATTCATTTAAACAGATTTCGGAACATTCATGACGAAAGATAACGTTATAATAATTTCAGATTTGTCAAATGTGTAAGACGGTGAACTGCAATTATATCCCTGCAAGTCCGTCTGACAAGCAAAGCAATTTAAAAAAAAATCGATTATAAAGATTAGGTCCGTTTTCAACTGAAAACCAATTAATTATTGAGGCTGAAGAATAATAATATATTTCTCATACTACATAAACGTATTTTTCCTTGTTAGCATCCGAAAAATCTAAAGATTGTTTTAATCCAATATATATAATATTTTGTATACGAAAATACGTACCTATATCTCATATTCACTGAATATTAAACTCATCCCAATGTGTTTAGTTATAAGTTATGCAAATATCATGCTTCCTCCTTCAATAAATAACTCTGACGTGGATACATGACTTTGTTTTCCTTTTAAAATAAATGCAGAATGTTCACATAAATGGACGTAAAAAAAATTAAGCTAATGTAGCACTAATTAGTTTGGATTCGCGACGGCATTTTCAATT